CCGCACTTTCCCCACCCCCACTCCGGGGTCCCTTGGCTAAGAGGGCCTCGGTGGGCAGTGGGTTACCAGCAGCTCGTCGGGCCGGATGGAGTTGTCAGTGTAGATGCACAACTTCTCGGCCGTCAGGGGGATGGTCTCTTTCATCTTCGAGGCCACGAACATGCAGGTGGCCCCCAGCAGCTGCAGGCGGCTCTTTTTCACCGGCTCCAGGGACAGGAAGCGGTCCAGGTAGTTCATGGCCAACGGGAAGACCTCCTCCTCGCACTTCTGCTCCTCGCAGACCTGCCGGGGCACCGGGGCCGTGACCGCCGCCGCCGAGGCCCTCCGCGGGACCCCGCGCCCCCCATCCCGCTCGCGCTCGCGCCACGGGTATCTGAGAACACGGAGGGTCGGGCAAGGGGTGGCAGACGCTTCCAGTGATGCGTCCCCTTCCCTAAGTATCCCCAGTACCCACCCATCCCGAAACTGAAAGGGAAAGTCCCCGCGAGGCTGGCATGGTGGGGGCGGCAGCGGGCATGGTTAGCCGGCGTGCGCCGCGCGCGGGCTGCCGGCCCTGGGGACCCCGGCCCTGGTGGGTGCTCTGGGGCCCGCCTGGCCCATGGTCGCACCAAATGGGGTGCGGGGCCGCGGGTCTGGGCGCCGCGCTCGCAGCGCCTGCGAGACACAAAGGTGGTGTCCCAGGCCGCCGCGCCGCATTTCCCCAGACGTCATCTTTTCAAAAAATATTTAAAAATATAAAAAAAATAACTGGGTACATAAAAAAAACCTGAAAATGACCCTCGGGCGGCCCTTTACTCAGATCGGGGGTCGGGAGCTCGTTGTAGGCTCCGTGGAGGGCCCCAGGAATTCAAACTCAGGGACCCCCCTTCCCCCTGGGCGCGGGCGCAGTTTCCCTCTCGCAAGGGCACCACGCCGCACTTTAAATAAATTATTTAAAAATACTTGCGGGCCCTCCAGGCGCCCACTGAAAGCCCGAAAATGTAACTGTAGCCCCCGTCTAGCTACAGACAGGGTCCCCCAAGCCGAGACCCCTGCAGACGAGGGGCAATCCCCAGCGTTTTAGGGGCCACGCGACCTTGCAGCCCGGCGTGCTCTCCGGCCCAGGCTGGCGGTGCAGGGCGCCCCGGGACTCGCAGCCTGAACAAAGGGCCCCCACTTCCCGAGCGGGTCCCCCCCAAGCTGCCCGCGCTCGGTCCCCGCGCCCCTCCCGCCGGTTCCCGGCGTCCGCGCGGCCCCTTCCCGCGGCCCCAGCGCCTCACCAGGCGCTCCCCGCCCCCACCCTGCCCCCAATTATTAATAAACACTTTTGCTTTGCAATAAAAGAACAAAGATGGCGCATAATACTGGCACGAGCAGCCCTTGCATACGTGTCCATGGATATTCATTTAAAAATCAAATATATGCCCCCTCCCTCTGGAGCTGGCGGCTCCGCGGCCGAGAGAGGAGGCGCAGCGGACTCAGGCGCAGGCGGGGGCTGCGCGGCGGTGGCCCAGGCGGGGGCCAAAAAGGGCGCCCAGCCGGCCGGCCCGCACCCTCGAGCCAATTAGGGTGCGTCTGGCACTGCCTTTCCCCGCAGGGACCCCCCTCCCTGTCCGCTCCCTCCCGACCAGGAAAGGGAATTTCTAACGCCCCCGCTCTGTCCTTGTTCAAAAAATACCCGCAGTATCTATATATTTTGAAAATACGATTCCTAGCTACACCCCCGGCAAACTTCAAAATTAGGGTAGGAGAAAAGGGGGCGAGATGAGCCGCAAAGAAATGTGAGTTTAGGTAACAAGTTGCAGGAAAGTCTTAAGAGAGCCGCCCGAAGCCCCGCACCTCCAGCATCCAGGTGGCCACAATCTTCCGCATGGACGGCAGGATCTCCTTCTGCACACACTTGAAGTAGGACACGGAGGGCGCGCAGGTCTCCTCCGCCTTGAGCATGGCTCGCAGCACCCGATCGTTAAGAAGGTTGGCATCGGGGTATGCCCGGCGGATGGTCTCCACCTCGCAGCACAGGAGCTGGTGTGCCATGGCTGGGGCTCTGCTGGGCGGCCTGGGGCTGGCGGCGGGTCGGGGGCTCGCTGCGCGCTCGGCTCTAGCTCCTGCGCTCCCTCGAGCTCTTCTGCTCCTCGCCCGAGCGCGCGGACTCTGCTGCTCGCTGCTACAGCGCCGACAGCCCTCTGGAGGCTCCAGGACTTTGCAACTTCCAACAAAACTCCCCTGTAGTCCGTGTGACGTTACTGTTGTTCAGCAGAGATCAAGGGCGCCGAGCGCCGGGGAGCGGCGAGGGGCAGAGCCCCGCAGCGGAGTTGCCCCCGAAGCCCAGTTTTCATAGAAATGCAAATCACCCCGAGGCAGCCTTTCTCCCCGCCGGGGAAGAGGGGTGCAGGGGGTCCTGTTCTCCCGGAGTGGGTCCCCCGGGATTTGAGGGTGGGTGGGTGGAGGTGGCTCTGCAGAGGGGGACAACTAGGAGGTCGGGCGGGCCACACGCAGCCGTGGGGAGACCGCATGGAGGGGGTACTCTGGGGCTTGGCGACACCCTATATCCGAGCCGGGAGAATGGGCGCATTTCCGAGAACGCCACGAGGGCACCCACGGGCGGAGAGGCGGCCAGGGAATCTCAACGTCTACATCTTCTTTCATTTTCATTAACACGTGTAAATTGCAGGAACCATTTAACATTCAGGGACGCGGGGCAGAGCCCATGGCCCTGCTGGAGGCTTAATTACGGCGCACAGGGGGGTCGTTGCAAATGCCCAGGGGGGGTAACACTAAACGTTTTTGAGATTTCAGCCTAGCATGTGCTCGCTCAAAAAATAACATAAAATAAATGCCCCAAAATTCCAGCAGCAGCCCAAGATGGTGGCCAGCATTTCCTTCATCCTGTCCTCCTCGCCTGGGGGATCTGCAGGCTGTCTTTCTACCTTGGCCAGTCCATCCTGTGGGGGTCCCCAAATCCCAACCGACCCCTCCCGGCAATTTAACTACTAGAAAAACACTGAATGGAAGGCAGCAAAACAGTGGTCTCTGTCCTGTCTCTTTTTAAAATTAAAAAGTAAATTAAATCGCTGGAAGTTATTAGTCGCCGCTCTGCCAGGGACAAGACCACCGGAAGCTTCCTAATTGGTTCTGTTGGAGGTGTGGACATCTTTTCACCTTAAGAATCTGCCCTGGGGCTGCATTCGTGAGCCTGATGGGGATGGCAGGGGTGACAGAAATTAAAAATAATTATAAGTTAAAGAAATGGGTGTATTGATCTGATGATTTTTAACAAAATTTATATATGTTCGTGGGTATACGATAGGGTCCCCAATATTATTGCAAACTTGAGACATATAAAATAACACATAAATTGTTTTATTATGATTGTCTTTTTAGTGCTTTTTTTAAAAAATAAAAGAACATTTTCTCCTATCTTAACATTTAGTTTTTACGCTACCTTTCCTAAATTAAGAAATTTGTTCATATACTTCCCTCTGAATACAGTTTAGTGTCGTCAAATCAAGGCTCAAAGAAAACGGACAAAAAAGACCCCTCCCGTTCTCAAGGGCGCACGCACCAAGGCAAGACACCCCCACTTTCAGGGCTGATTCTTCCCGTGCCCCTTTTCCCGCTGGGAATTAGGGTTTCTAATATTCCAGATCCAGGAGGGTAATTACCCTCGGTTCACGCCTCGGAAGCCGTGGGTGGCCTCAATAGGGAGCACCCACCGCCGTGTCCCCCTCCCCGGGCACCTAGGCTCGCTTTGGCCCCGTGCACGCTGGAGCCTCGCAGCATCAGCCTGCGCACGAGGGCTGCCAGGCTGCTTTTTCATTCATAAAATCCCGACCCGGCGGCCGCCCCGATGATTTATGGGGCTTCGCGCTATCACCCGGCGGCTCCTGTCCCGGGGGTCTACGGGGCTCGAGCCCCGCGTGCGCCCCTGCCGGGATGAGGCGGGTCGGCGACAGCGAGGGGCAACGGGGAATAAAGAGGCTCGCCCACTCCGGCAAAACGGGCTCTGGGTCCAGGAGGGAGCTTCCCCCCAACCCGCGAGAAAGGCAGAGGAAACTGGAATTAGCATGAGCCAATGGGGGCGCGGCGTTGTTACTAGGCGGACCGGGCAGAACTCAACGAGGAACTTCGTTGATTTCCCCGCTCAGGGACGGGCGCAAAAGTGCAAGCCCGGCCAGTGAGCGTGAAGAGCCGTCCAGGAACCCGCGGGGGAGGCGCTGGAATTTGGGGCCCCGCGGGGAGCGCCGGCTGCCCTGCCCCCACCCAGGATCCCAGATCTGTGTTCCCCGCAGCCCGCGGGGGGGCCAACAGCCCATGGCCCTTGAGGGCTGCTGTTTCTAGGAGAGCAGAGGATGCGTTTTGATTTTAATTATTTTTTTCGAAGCGAAAAGCAACCTTTGAAAACTTTTATGTTGCAGTTTTAATTTTGCACTGCTTTTAAAAAACCCACCACGAAGCAGGAACTCCGAATTCTGGGCTCATTTAAAGTGCTCTGCGCTTATTTCTTGGTGACCATTTAGAGACAAAGGGCCAGCAGCCCCAATCGGGAGGGAAACCACGTTGGTTGGAAAGGAAATCCAAAAGTAACTAAATCACCTTCCTGCTTTCCTCGGCCCCTGGCCCCCCACCGAGGTGACCTGGGCCGGGGAGATTCGTCGGCCCCGAGAGGGCAAATTCCGCAGCAGGCGCGTTTGCCACCGTCCCTGGCTGTGGGAACCTTCATTCAAGGCGGGGGAAGGGAGCGCGTTCATTCAGGAACCGGCGCGCCACAGCGCCGACCCTGGGATGCACCGCGGCTGCGCGCCGCCTCGCCGGGGGGGGGGGCTCTGAGACGGGGTGCAGGGCCCAATGGGGATCTTCCACGGGTGTCGACCTCCCGCCTTCCCCAGAGAGGACCGGGGCGGGGGGCGGGCGGACGCACCCAGGTGGGGTCACCTGCAGCCGCATACCTGCCGGCGACTTGAAAGGACTTGGCTCCAGCTCCGCGAGTTTTCCGCTGTTAAGCCCTTAAGTCGCACTGGAAAGCGCTTCCGAATGAGGGCCACAGGGTTCCGGGGGCGCTCGGGCTCCCCTTCCCCCACACTACTCGCTTTGGGGGCGCGCATGGCGGCCCACGTGCTGCGGTAGCTCCGCCCCCGCTACGTGGTGCTGATCCCTGGCGCCCCAAAGCTGCGGCCTCTGGCCCTGGCGCCCACCCGGGACCGTCACAGCTGGGCACAGAGGCAGCCGCACCTCCCACCGCCCCAAGCCGTGGAGGTGCGTTTCTTCCTCTGATCTATTAATTTCAGCCACACACAGACTACCCCCCTCTCCCCTGAGCCCCAGTAGTCGGTCCCGCAGTTTGCAGGGTCAGGACACCCCTCCCCCAGCTCTGAACTTCGGCGAAGTGTGCGTGGAAGTTAAAAAACAAACCCCAACAGGTGTGTGGGGGGCTGGCTCCTCCTGCCTCTGGGATCCCGAGGGTAAAGGTGCACTTTTGGGGGTGAAAGAAGATTCTAACTCTGACCTCCGCCCCTCAAAACGCATCGCTTGGTGCCTCGAGCAACGTGAAACTCAAGTCCACTAGGAATTCCCTGGCCTCTTTGCCCAGGTCTCTGGGCGGCCGCTGACCAAGTGTCGCGGAGTGGGTGCCCAGATTGAGAAGATAACCACCTCCGACTAAGGCAGATCGCGCGGGAAGTGGGGGTAGTGACCTAGGAGGCCATATCCTCCCCGCATCTTCCGTGCCCAAGCAGGGCCGCGGCTCACCCGAGGCTGAGCAGACAGACCCCTGCACCGAACGAGGGGGGCACAGGGCTCCCTGGGGAGACTCGCGAGGCCTAGGACACGTGTGGCTTGTGGGAGCGGGAACTTCCGGGAGGTGGACCAGCTCTAAGACCCTCGTCGACTCCCGCGGCTCCCCCCCCACGTCACACCTTCTCCCCATGTCTCTCCATCAGGCCCCTTCTCTCGCCTCTAGGACTTGACACTCTGCCCCCAACCCCGCCCTTTTTCGGAGAATGTCTACAGGGAGGACCCCGCATCCTCGTGCCTTCCAGTCAGTGTCGTTCTGCCCTTGAAACGCCCGAGTTCCTATCATTCGCCATAGTCCTGGTGGTGGATGGAAGAATGGCTGCGAGGCGGGGGTGGGGTGGGGGGGTCTTGATTATGGGGATCCTCCCAGTTTGGGGGCTCTGGACACTTTCCAGGAGGGACTCGCGAAAGGCTTTATTTTCAGGTGCGAGGCGAAGGGTTGCATACCTAGCTCTCTGTACCCCCTCTCCCCTGGGGTCCCTCGGCCTCAAGCTGCCGGGGCTGGTGGCGGGGCACAGGTTTGGACCCATTGGGGAGTTACGGGCGCTTGGGGTCCGAGGGGGTCGGATGGGCAAGTCTCGCCAGGGTGTTCGTGCGGGGCTCGACAGGCTCCTGCCGCCCTGGGCAGTGGGGGCCAGGGACTGGGGTGCGGCCGGGCTGGGGAGGGCGAGCAGGCGAGAGCGCGCGCTGCGGGAACCGGGGCCTTGGCTCCGGAGCAGCGCGGGGCCGCGCCGCGCATTCCGCGCATTCCCGCCCGGCCTCGGCTCCGCCGCCACGTGGTTGTTCTGCGCGCCGCGCTTACCGTAAGGCTTGGAGAAGGCGCGCATCACGGCTCCCGAGCGCGCGCGGACCTCCCAGGGTGCGGAACGCGGGCGCCAGGTCCGGCCACGGCTCCTTAGCGGTCTGCTCCCGAGATACAGATAGGGTTTTTGTTCTGTTTTGTTTTCACGTAATGAGAGTTGTGCTTGTAGTGTAATGGCGTATTCGTTTTTTTGTAAAGACAGGTAGGAAAGGTGGCCAGGCCCCACTGCGATCCGTAGTCGGGTTGACTGTACATCTGAGGAACGTGACCGAACCGGACCGGTGACCATTATGACTTCCCAGCAGTGACACAGCGCAGAAGAGGAGCTGCAGCTGTCCGGCCGTTTTCTTTATTGTTGACAATCAGCCGGTGGCTCGGTCCAGTGGCGGCTCGGGGGAGCAGAATCAGGGAAGTGCTTAGCACACAGGAAAGCGTTTGTAAGCCGGCTATAACTGTTTTTTCAAAGTCGTGAAGGGTCTTTTCTCAGAGGGTCCGTTGAGTACATCACTGCATCCTGAGCAGCTGCCCTTAACCAACAGGACCCCGGCCTCTGCCTCATGGGGCCCCTGTGAACCCCAGGCTTGGCTGGGTCAGGAATTCTGAAGACCCTCCTGACACTGCCACCTTGAGGAACGGCGGCTTGGGCGGAGT